CCGGAGCTAAATCGGGAAGGCTAGAACTTCATAAGCTTCATTAAGGTGAGAAGATGGCTTTATGCTTTATAACTTTTGCGTTAGGCATGATATTACCTAAAGTAGTCAAGGATATGTTTTGTGGAATGATTAAAGATAATCAAGTATTTGCTTATGCCATGATTTTGCATAAAACATAGGTGAAAAGCATGTTATGTAGGTTTGGTGATTAAAAATGTGATAAAATATTTTGTGTGATGATCCAGGGGTCCAAAAATGGTATTTTTGGATCGAGGACATCAAGAAGTATATGTGTATAAAATTTCAAGTTAATCGGACTCCGTTTGGGTGGTCAAAAGGGGCGTTGACCGCCAAGTCAACTGCCATACCCGACCGGGTATTGACACATACCCGACCGGGTATTTTCTGAAGAATTGCCCAGGGGGCTATTGTCTCCTATACCCGATCGAGTATAGGTAGATACTCGATCGAGTATACATCGAAAATTAGCTTTGGGGGCTACCGCCTCCTGTACTCGACCGAGTATGGGTAGATACTCGATCGAGCATTGGTTTATGCTCAAAACGGACAGTTTTGAGCGGGTTTATGTGGGCCGTTCAGGTGGGACCCGCCCACGTTGGTTCCTAAGGATGGTTATATGACTATAGGGCTAGGTATTGTCCATAGTTGAAGGAACGAAAGGTTAGCCATATCCAGGTTAGGGTTTGGTAAGGATTTAGTTTGGGGTTGAGTATCCCCGGGACATTAGATGATCCTGAAACTCGGTTGGGGTTGAGCATCCCCGGGACTATAAATGATCCTGAAACTCGGTTGGGGTTGAGCATCCCCGGGACATTAAATGATTCTGAAACTCGGTTGAGGTTGAGCATCCCCGGGACCATACATGATCCTGAAACTCGGTTGGGGTTGAGAATCCCCGGGACTGCAAATGATCCTGAAACTCGGTTGGGGTTGAGCATGTTAGGAAATTGATGTAACGTACCTCGAAAGTACGGCAGCGGAAGTTTAAAATTTTCCTAAACAGATCTTCCTGATTATGACAAAATAACGAATATGATAATAATAACAGATCTGAGTTAGAACTTACGGATCTTCCAGCTTAGCGGTGATAATCCTTGACCTTTGGTATCCACGTGATTTCTCCTTTCCGAAAGAACGGTTAGATCTCCCTAAGAGAAAGACTAGGAAATCTCTTCGCAGGGAAATAAACTGGTAATACTGAATCTTAAAACTGGTCTATTAATTATGAAGGAGGAGGGTGTATTTATACTAGTTCTAAACTAGTTTCCCAATCACAATGAAAGTGTTCTTCATTAATGAGTTCTAATCCTAACATGACTAATATCATTTATTAATTAAATAAAGATATAAATAATAATAACAAAACTAGTCATACGTATTAAAGAAGAATGGGGGTTGCCGCCACCCTCATCTTCTTAAAAGACTTATTATTATCATTTTATATTTTCTTGAACACACTAATTCTAAATTGTGCACAAGAAAATATCGACTTTAATTAATTATAAATACATCTTAATTAAGTATAATAAATCTAATTTATTCCACTTAATTAATTCTATCAAATAGAACTCTCCTTCAACTTCATGAAATAAATATGTTTAATCTAATTAATATTTAATCCATTTTCAGTATTACTAATTAAATATTATTTAATCCAATTAATAATATTTAATTTCTTCTAACAATTCAATCGGAAGGTATAATCACTTGTTGTGTGACCCATAGGGCCTTATATATTAAGCACTAATCAAATTAAGGTCTTAGTAGAATCCCTAGACGATTTACCAGACAAACTTAATATATAAGGACGTTTGCGAGGACTATTCAAACTCCCTGTAATATAGAGCTCATAGTGATACGGTCCTTTCATTCAGCGAACATTCAACTAAGTCTAGAACATGATATAGTGTCTATCCCAATAACTCAGTCTCTGTCTCTCAATCTTTCTAGATGATCCATAACGATCATATTCGATATCCAAAACGAATATATCTTTGCATTGGCCAATGACTTTATGATCCATCTAGATATGAGAAGTAGAATGTTCTCTCTTAATCTATTATGAGGAATGAATCCTTTCTTGGCTCAACTACTACTCCATGTGCTTCGTGATGCACCCAACACATGCCGTATCTACCCCGATTGGAGTGCAAGCGTCGGTCATGGTTAAAGTACATTACTCCGCACATGTAGTACGTATTGACCTCAAGTCAGAGGACTATTACACTACTCTATACGCCGATAATCCCATAGACACATGAATAGAACTTATCAAAAGGTTTCTCGGTGGGTATGCCAATATTCTCTAAAATATCAATGTGACCATCATGAATTACAGGAACCCATAGTCGTGAGATCAACTATACTTTCTAAAAGTATGATGCAGTCCACATACCAATCTTATCGCATATCATCAATATCCCATTCTTGATGATCATTGATTGGGGCTATTTTAGGACCTTATGTTATATCATATAAGCTCCCACTTACTTATTGACAACATAAGTCCAAGGGAACACAATTATGAATAAGATATTGACAATTGAAATACTTAATCGTCAATGTGTAATAGCGTATATATCAAATATATAAAACTGAATGTGATCAAGTACATATATCTCTAAAAAGTGATTGTCGCTAGGACATATATACTAACAATCTCCCACTTGACCTAGTGCCAATCACCGATGCGTCTAACACGTAGTCTCTTAAAAGTCTAGTATGTTTCTCGCATCTCAAAGGTTTGGTGAATGGGTGAGCCAAATTGTCCTCTACGGGAAGGCATTCTATTGCAACTTCTCATCTTGCTATTTGTTATCAAAACATGATAGCATACTGGTATTTTCTAGTTCCTTACTTCGCATCTTGGTTCCTTAGCTTGTGCAAATGCACCAGGTACAATCACAATAACAATTATTGGATAACTGTCGCTAGGAACTACCCCTGTGTCTTTAAGGAACTAACATATCTAAACATTTACCTGTGTTGTATCAAATGCAACAATTTACTAGGCTCTAGTTGTCGAATTTATAGTAGTTTCTAACTTGTAACTCTTTCAGCACTACTATTACATTGAGACTAAAAACATATATTGACTGTGACTCGTAGTCTTTCTTATCATACATGAAACTAGTGCTAGAATAATTAAATTCTACTAGTCCTTTCTGTCTACCATAGACAAAAAGATGTTCATGAAGATTTTGGGTGACCATCCTTTCACGGACTTCAATGAGGGGATATCATTCTCTATGATCAACATATATCATTACAAAGACCACGCTATCCTTGTTGCGCACTCTAAACACGCAAGCATCCTCATTTCATTTGATGAGGTCAATTGATTTGACTATTTCATCAAAATTAATATTTCAACTCCTAGAGGCTTGTTTAGCCCGTAAATAGATTTCTCTAATTAACATAATGATTTAGAATTTTACATGGATGCAAAAGCCTTCAGGTTGTACCATGTACACCTCCTCCTTGAGGTTTCCATTAAGGAAATGGGTTTTGATATCCATTTATCAAATCTCATAATCATAGTATGTAGCTGTCACAAACAAAATCCGAATGGTCTTGAGTTTTGCAACTGGCGAATAGGTATCACTATAGTCAATTCCTTCTCTTTGACTATAACCTTTAGCCACTAGCCTAGCTTTGTATGTTTGCACCTTGCCTTCGACATTAATTTTCTTCTTGAAAATCATTTGCATCCAATGGGTCCAACCCCAACAGGCAAGTCAACCAAGTTCCATACTTGATTGATACACTTCGAGTCCATTTTAGATTTTATGGCTTCTCGCCACCTCTATGAATCAACATCTAATATTGCTTCTATGTGGGTCTCAGGTTCATCCGTATCAGGAATCTTAACATCATCATGATCCTCCATGAGGAAGCCAAACCTAGTTAGTTCATGACGAATCCTAGTAGACCCATAAAGTTGAATGTTTTGCGTTTTGTTTAGGCTGTTCATTCTGATAGTGAAGAGGTTCTCTTTCTTTGGACTATCCCAATGTTCAGAGAGTTTCTGGTGCTTTACTCAGAGAGGGAGAGTTAGGTGCAGAAGGAATGACAACCATGCCATTACTTTCTTCATAAGAATCACCTGCTGGTGTGAAGCGCTTCCTATATTACTCCCACTAGCTGAAGGATATACTCCTAGAGACATTCTTCGACTTAATTCTCCCATTGAATCCTCCGTCAGACCATCTAACAAATCTTCATTCTCTATGTTACTTCATCTTTCAATTTTATTAGTGCACATTTCTTTACATATGTAGGGCAACCCATATTTAATATGTGAAGAAAATGTCTTTTATTATACCACAACTCATATAGTACGTTTTGCACTAATCAAAATATTCAGAATGCATATTGAGATTTATAGTGTGTACCCTAAAAAGAATGTTTGGAAGAGAAAATGAATTCATCATAGATCTAGCCATGTCTTACAAGGCCCTATTTCTCCTTGCAGAACGTCACACTTCTGAGGTGTTCTGGAGGAGTTCATTATGATCGAATTCTTCGATCTTTTAAATAAATCAGAAACTTTACTTAAGTACTCTTTGGCTTGCTATCCTTTTTCCTAGAAAAGGTTTATTAGTCAATTTACTTGAAAGACAAGATTCACAAGTTCCATATGACTCAAAGTCAAAAGGTGTTAAATAATCTAATTTATTTAGCGTTGCTATTCTTGTTTCATTAATTTGACCAAGTTTGCAATGTCATAGATAGGTAGTAATTTTTCTGATTACTTAATCGAGATCCTTTTATTTTATTCATTTAATATCTAATATGTCGATTGATAATTAACCATTCATAAGAAAAGCATTTCCACAACAACACCATTTTATGAAAATAACAATTATTATTAGCAAAATGGAAATAGAAATCTTTTAATGTCTAACATATGAATGAAAATAATCTTCTTGGTAATAGAAGGAATAAAATAACAATTATTTAATTCTAATCTAAAACCACCGGGCAAATCTAAACTATAAGATCCTATCACGTTCAACAACAACTTTTGCTCCAGTCTTCACGCGTAGGTCAATTTTACCCAGTCCAACTGCTACACTGCTTCTCAGGCTTCTGCACATTATTACAAATGTGTAAGCTATAAGTTGTATCTAATACTTTAACAATAAGAGTTAGTTATAGACATATTTATTTAATGATAAAATTACCTGAGCTTGAAACACCTGGTGCTTTGGCTAGATTAGCCTTATACAGCTCACAATCTCTCTTCCAATGTCCCTTTTCTTTGCAGTAGAGACAAACATCCTTTGCAACCTTTGGCTTCATATGACCTCCACCTTTAGGCTTCAGAGCTGTAGGAGTAGGTCCAACCTTACCTTTCTTCTTTTGCTTATTCTTGTTCTTAGAACGAGACTTAGCATTAGAGCTTATCATAAGAACAGTCTTTCCTTTAGAGGTTGAGGCTTCATAAGACTTGAGCATGTTATGGAGTTCAGGCATGGTCGCTTTCGTTTTGTTCAAATTATAATTCACAATGAAGTTAGTAAATGAACTCGGAAGCGAATATAGGATGATAGCAGCCGAGACACGATCCTCAAACTTAATTCTGGTGGTAGCAACTCTTTCAATTAAGCCAATCATTTTGAGGACGTGCTCAGACACGTTGCCACCCTCTTGAAGCCTACACTTGAAAATGTCTGTCAGAAGTTCATACTCTAAAGTCTGACTCTCTGAATCAAACAGACTTTTCAAGTGTTCAAGCATCTCGAAGGCGCTCATCCTATCGTGTTGCCTTTGCAACTCCATAGACATTGCAGCCAACATAACACATTGCACGGTTTTAGCATCAGTAACATGTTTCTCTCGAGCAGTCAGGTCAAACGTGGCAAACTCGGGAGAGTTAGCATCAGGAATCTTGGGTACCGGCGTGTCTAACACATACTCAATATTTTCTTGTCTAAGAACTAAACGCACATTTCTTTCCCAGTCCAGAAAGTTTGGTCCAGTAAGCTTGCATGTATCCAAGATACTTCTCAATGATAAATTCGACATTCCTAAAAGCCTAAAGAAGTTCAAAGAGAACGGGAATTAAAATTCATATAATAATTCATATGATCACATTTAGTTAACTAAATAATATGGACTTTTAATTATTTAGCTCCCACTATTTTTACATGCTCTTTGACCCCAATAAAAAGAACATGGATTATTTTCATAATCATAGTGGCCAAGATCCACATTCATACTATTACAGTCCCAGCTTGGGCTGATCACTGCAATAATATAATGGGTAGGTCCCTAGACCAATTGCGTCCAAGCTATTCTTGGTTGATCAATTTTTAATTGATTGACATCCCTAAATTAACACTGACGCTTGGGCGACTCGAGCTAATTTAAGTAAGTCAAAACCATCACACGATCACAAACATATGTATCTATAAATTAGTTCTATATTTTGTCGAATGGAATAAACACTTGGGTGAAATATTCTTCAACGAAAAAATATTTCTACTAATTTAATTATGATGGGTGATGTCGTTATCCTAGATAAAACTTAAATTTTAATTTATGGGGAACGTTTAGCAGGGCATTAAATTATTTAATCAAGATGCTAATAACATATTATCAAATAATATGTTAATGAGATCTAACTCAAACATATAAATTAAAGCAGGCATTATAAATCTAATTTATAAACAGATACAATTAACAATTAAAGTATAAGCATGCTTAATAATAATATGTTGGATAAACCAAGTTTATTAAAATTAAACGCATTCATCTCTAAGATAAGTAATCTAATTAAAGAGGTTAACTTTAACATTTAACTATTATTTCCAATCTGCCATTTTAAGACAATCAAACAGTCCTATTGAGAACAATCTGCCGCCGTAATCAGCTAGGCCTAAAACTATTTCTCACAAGTTTTAAAAGAATAGGATTCAATCCTCGTCTTAAAGGTTTAAGAGTCCAATAATAAACCTAGAGCACAATCGTTTTTAATCTTGCAACTTACAAGGGAAAACAACGACCCAACAACCCTTCCTACTATAGTTTAATCTAATTTTCAAAGTTTAACTACTCATTGAACTCTAATTAGGTTATGCACCGGAAGGCGTGAAACATTCGCATACGGAAGGCGTTGATGTTCTTTGCCGTCGATGTCCTAAGGCTCTTCATTATCGCAGAATTCGTCCGCCATGGAGGGAGAGGGCTACATTAGGAGTAAACACGTCCGTAGATCTTCATTATGTTCAAAAACAGATTGTCCAGATATTGAAAATCGGATTGTTTTTCAGATATCTAGAAGGTTTCAACAATAACAAAATCTCCTGATATTTTGAGTTATCGATGGGAAAATCAACTAGATCTTCCCAATAAAAGATTCAATTTTAAGATTTCATACAAACGTGATTAATCTAATCTAATTTCAAAAAGTAAATTAGTCTAAGAAATAATATACTACGTACATCAATAGTATATGTTCATACATATAAAAACATGAATCCATATTCGTATGATGCCATTAAAATCAGTTTGGCTCTGATACCACTATTAGGAAATTGATGTAACGTACCTCGAAAGTACGGCAGCGGAAGTTTAAAATTTTCCCAAACAGATCTTCCTGATTATGACAAAATAACAAATATGATAATAATAACAGATCTGAGTTAGAACTTACAGATCTTCCAGCTTAGCGGTGATAATCCTTGACCTTTGGTATCCACGTGATTTCTCCTTTCCGAAAGAACGGTTAGATCTCCCTAAGAGAAAGACTAGGAAATCTCTTCGCAGGGAAATAAACTGGTAATACTGAATCTTAAAACCAGTCTATTAATTATGAAGGAGGAGGGTGTATTTATACTAGTTCTAAACTAGTTTCCCAATCACAATGAAAGTGTTCTTCATTAATGAGTTCTAATCCTAACATGACTAATATCATTTATTAATTAAATAAAGATATAAATAATAATAACAAAACTCGTCATACGTATTAAAGAAGAATGGGGGTTGCCGCCACCCTCATCTTCTTAAAAGACTTATTATTATCATTTTATATTTTCTTGAACACACTAATTCTAAATTGTGCACAAGAAAATATCGACTTTAATTAATTATAAATACATCTTAATTAAGTATAATAAATCTAATTTATTCCACTTAATTAATTCTATCAAATAGAACTCTCCTTCAACTTCATGAAATAAATATGTTTAATCTAATTAATATTTAATCCATTTTCAGTATTACTAATTAAATATTATTTAATCCAATTAATAATATTTAATTCCTTCTAACAATTCAATCGGAATGTATAATCACTTGTTGTGTGACCCATAGGGCCTTATATATTAAGCACTAATCAAATTAAGGTCTTAGTAGAATCCCTAGACGATTTACCAGACAAACTTAATATATAAGGACGTTTGCGAGGACTATTCAAACTACCTGTAATATAGAGATCATAGTGATATGGTCCTTTCATTCAGCGAACATTCAACTAAGTCTAGAACATGATATAGTGTCTATCCCAATAACTCAGTCTCTGTCTCTCAATCTTTCTAGATGATCCATAACGATCATATTCGATATCCAAAATGAATATATCTTTGCATTGGCCAATGACTTTATGATCCATCTAGATATGAGAAGTAGAATGTTCTCTCTTAATCTATTATGAGGAATGAATCCTTTCTTGGCTCAACTACTACTCCATGTGCTTCGTGATGCACCCAACACATGCCGTATCTACCCCGATTGGAGTGCAAGCGTTGGTCATGGTCAAAGTACATTACTCCGCACATGTAGTACGTATTGACCTCAAGTCAGAGGACTATTACACTACTCTATACGCCGATAATCCCATAGACACATGAATAGAACTTATCAAAAGGTTTCTCGGTGGGTATGCCAATATTCTCTAAAATATCTATGTGACCATCATGAATTACAGGAACTCATAGTCGTGAGATCAACTATACTTTCTAAAAGTATGATGCGGTCCACATACCAATCTTATCGCATATCATCAATATCCCATTCTTGATGATCATTGATTGGGGCTATTTTAGGACCTTATGTTATATCATATAAGCTCCCACTTACTTATTGACAACATAAGTCCAAGGGAACACAATTATGAATAAGATATTGACAATTGAAATACTTAATCGTCAATGTGTAATACCGTATATATCAAATATATTAAACTGAATGTGATCAAGTACATATATCTCTAAAAAGTGATTGTCGCTAGGACATATATACTAACAGAGCATCCCCGGAACATTTAATGATCCTGAAACTCGGTTGGGGTTGAGTATCCCCGGGATGCTAAATGCTCCCAAAACTCGGTAGGATATTATGAATGTAGAATGTTGCTGGCGAGCTAGGCATTCGGGAAAAGGGTGAGAAAGGTCAGGTAAGAACTTTATCTCTAAAAGATTCTTTGAATGAAATGACCTACGGGTCGAGTATTTTACATATATATATATATATACAGTATGTATCATCGGATGAATGAGTCATATATATATATATATATATATATATATATATATATATATATATATATATATATATATATATATATATATATGTAGCACCCTATTTTTGGGTCTCGTGTCTGAAACATTAGTTATTCTTCATATAGCCTGCTTGTCACTAGTACTTCTATGGAGTACTGACCCCTCCGGGGGCCCTCACATTTTTCAGGTTGAGGCTAGAGTCCTACTACCTGCACCTTTGCCTAGGGTGATTGATCGAGAAGGAAGACATGGTTCGTGCTTCCATTCTTATTTCAAATGTATAAACCACTCATGGATTTTTGAACAATATTTTCATTAAAACAGTTGGGGGCATGCGTGCCCGTGTTTGCCACGTGTGGCTAAGTATCAAACATTTTATATTTTCGCATTTGTTTGACTATGATATTGATGTTGATTGTATGTGTTTACTAATCGGTTTGGCAATAGAATCAATCGGACGCCTTGTACAATCCAATAGGGATGAACTATTGTTGTTCTTATCGGGTTGTACGGCGGTTGTCTACGTGGCTCGGATGCGGTCCGGGGCGTGACAGATTGGGCTCTCCATCCCTTCCAAGATGGGGACCATCACCCTTATATTCCGACCGGCTTCATCATCGCCTCGTCATCATATTTCGGATTGGCTCCTCCTCCTCATCGTCCGCACGTCACGACCGGCCCCTCGGCCTTGGCGTGATTAACTATCTCAAGACCGGCTTCATTAGTGCCGAGTGCATTGAGCTAGCTACTGGGCTCGCCATCTCTTCCTGGATGGTGACCGTCGCCTTTATATGACGATCGGCCCATCATCGCCTCATCATCATATTCCGGATTGGCTCCTCCTCATCGCCGGCTGCACATCACGATCGACCCCTTGGTCTCAACGTGATGATCTATCTCAAGAATGGCTTCCCCAGCGCCGAGAGTCTTGAGTTAGCGATTGGGCTCACCACCCCTTCCTGAATGGTGACTGTGGCCTCTATATGACGGCCGGTTTCATCATGCCTCGTCATCATATTATATGATGATCGGCCCATCAGACCCCTCGGTCTCAACGTGATGATCATACTCTGAAGACCGGCCTCATCCTCTCACTTTATGGATAACGACCGTTGCTTGAACTCTAGGATCGGCTTCCCAGCATTGCCGCCCTCAGATCACGAACGACCCCTCGGCCACAGCGTGATGATCTATCTCAAGACCGGCCTCCACAGCGCTGAACATCTTGAGCTAGCGATCGGGCTCTCCATCCCTTCTAGGATGGGGACTATCGCCATTTTATGACGATCGGTCCATCAGCGCCGACGTCCTCATATCACGAACGGCCCCTCGGCCTCGGCGTGATTCCACATCTCAAGACCGGCTTCCCCAGCGCTGAGCAATGTTCTAAAATTCGCTAGGCGCTAGTCGGGCAGTCAAGCAGTGCCTAGCCTAGGCGGACTAGGCACCGATTAGTCGCCGACTAGGCAGCCAACTCGGTTTCAACATAATACTAAAAAATAAAATATTCTTGGCAAAAAATACTACATTAAACAAATGGGCTCAACCTCATCCCTCTTTTTTTATAAGAGATAAAAACATTAACTATTTAAAGATTAATGAACTGAACCTCATCCCTTTTTTGCATCATCATCC